ATCCTGACAAATTTCGCCCATGATGAAAAAATACCTGAATGATGTAAAAAGCCCAAATCCAAACGAGTCCCATTCCTTGATCAATTTTCCCCAATCAACTAGTTGTTCTCATTTCTAACCTTTCTAACTCGTGAAGAATAAAGATATAATAAATATTTGTAAAAACTTGATCTCTGAAAAAAAAAAAAAAAAAAAAAATCCTGACAAATTTCGCCCATGATGAAAAAATACCTGAATGATGTAAAAAGCCCAAATCCAAACGAGTCCCATTCCTAGAAATTTAGCGAGAAAGTTTCGGTATAATCATGTGACAATCAATTTAATTTATTATTGGCTTATTCGATTTATTCCCAGTTAATGAAAATTACAAGTTTATTTAAGTTTATTGTATAGTGTGTTTCATTAAGTCATTCAATGTTTCAAATTTTAAAAAATTTGTATAATCATGTGATAAATATAATGTTTATTTGTAATTAGCTAAAATTTTAAATATAAATTTTTAGTTAAGACCAAATTTTAGTTAAAAAAAGATCAGTTGATCAACAACATGCATACAGTCTAAACTATTATATAAGTGACCTACATTATAAATTTAGACATAATTCCGGCTGGTTATTTTATAGTAACAGTTAATGTTACGTTAAAATATTTTAAATATATGTACTAGAAAATATTTTATTGATTTTTAAGTTTGATAAATATATTTGATGGGTTTTTGTGACAAACCGTAGAATCAAAGTTATTATTTTTTTTTTTTGTTTTGTTTAAGGAATAGTTTCTTAAAAAAAAAAAAAACATATAAAAAAAATAATTTATACAACTTTGAAATCGACAAAAAAAAAAATTGTTTCATTATTTAAAATTGTTACTTTTGTAAAACTGATTATTGTTAAATAAAATAAAATCTATTTAATTATATATAATTTAACACTTATAATAATTATAAACTTCAACACATAATCCATGTGATATGACACTTCCTTTTTTATTGGATTAAAAAAAAGCTATGGATTTTAAAATTTTTTTTTTTTTTAGTGAAAACAGAAAAAGTGTTTATAAAGAAAAATAAAGAAATTCATTATAAATTGAAGGAAAAAAAAATGATGTTTAATTATGAATGCGGTTTATTAAATGCGGTTTATTTTTATTTTTTAGATATCGCCGTCTTGTTCTAATTCTTCTTCATATTCTGCTTCTTCTTCTTCAACAGTAGCTTCTTGATATTGTTGATATCTAGAAATTTACACGAAAGAATTATGTTATCATTGGTGATTAAAAATCTTTATAATTACAAAGTAATTAACAAAATATATATGAATGACTTACTCAGATACCAAATCGTTCATATTTGATTCTGCTTCAGTGAATTCCATTTCGTCCATACCCTCGCCAGTATACCAATGCAAGAAAGCTTTACGCCTAAACATAGCAGTGAATTGATCACTGATACGTTTGAAGAGCTCTTGAATCGATGTTGAGTTACCGATGAAAGTAACCGACATCTTGAGACCTTTTGGTGGAATGTCACAAACAGCGGCTATAATTTAAAGTAATAATAATAATAATAAGCAACATAGTCAGAAAGGAATATTAGAAAAAGAAACTTTCAAATTTAAAATGCTTACTTTTAACATTATTGGGGATCCATTCAACAAAATATGAACTGTTCTTTGTTTGAACAGATAACATTTGATCGTCTACTTCCTTCATTGAACAACGACCCCTGAACATTGCGGCAACAGTCAAATATCGACCATGACGAGGATCTGAGGCTGCCATCATGTTCTTGGCATCAAACATTTGTTGAGTTAATTCTGGGACAGTCAAGGCACGATAACCTTGAGATCCACGAGAAGTCAATGGGGCAAATCCGACCATAAAGAAATGAAGACGAGGGAAAGGAACTGTATTACAAGGAAGTTAATTTATATTAGTTTTTTTTTTTATAAAAAAAATGAATAAATCAAACAAAATGTATGTAATCGTAAATACAAACTTACCCATGTTTACAGCTAATTTTCTCAAATCTGCATTCAATTGACCAGGGAATCGTAAACATGTGGTAATACCGCTCATGACCGCAGATACCAAATGGTTGAGATCACCATAAGTTGGCGTACTCAATTTCAATGTACGGAAGCAAATATCATATAAAGCTTCATTATCGATGCAGAAAGTTTCATCGGAATTTTCGACCAACTGATGTACTGATAAGGTCGCGTTGTATGGTTCAACGACAGTGTCAGATACCTATGTTTTATTTTTAAAAAAAGATTTAATTAATTAACATGAAAAATAATATTCTTTTAACGCGTCAAAAGGACTCATAAATTAAATGTATTCGCTTTAACGCGGTAATATAAAACAATACCTTTGGTGAGGGAACAACCGAAAATGTGCACATCATGCGGTCTGGGTATTCTTCACGAATTTTTGAGATGAGTAAAGTTCCCATACCAGCACCAGTACCACCACCAAGAGAGTGGGTGATTTGGAAACCTTGTAAACAGTCACAAGATTCTGCTTCTTTTCGTACAACGTCTAATACAGAGTCTACGAGCTCAGCACCTTCAGTATAATGACCTTTGGCCCAGTTGTTACCGGCACCACTTTGACCAAAGACAAAGTTATCCGGACGGAAGAGTTGACCGAAAGGACCAGCACGAACAGAATCCATAGTACCAGGTTCAAGGTCAACGAGAACAGCGCGCGGAACATATTTACCACCCGCGGCTTCGTTATAATATACTGAGATTCTTTCTAACTGAAGGTCAGAGTCACCGGTATAAGTACCAGTGTAGTCGATACCATGCTCATCTGAAATTACTTCCCAAAATTTGGCACCTATTTGGTTACCACATTGGCCGGTTTGTAAATGAACAATTTCTCTCATGGTCATATGAAATGTGTTGTATAGGGGGAACCGGTTCTAAATCTGAAAGTAGTGAGGAGCACCAAAGAAAAAAAAAAAGGTTTTTTATACAATGTTTTTTGGGTTATTAGGGTCAAAGCACTTTTTTTTTTTTTTTAACCTCTTTGAAAGTGAATCAAAGGAAGAAAAGCGGGATAAAACAAGTCAACGAAAAAAGTTTGCCTTTAAAAATTTCTTTGTAGTACACTGTACGCGTAGTCGACAACGAAGCACAACAGCGCGAGAACAACACTAAAAACAACTCACTCAACTAGATATGGAGTTGCTGATGGTGGATTATTGCAGAAATCGTTAAGCACCAATCAAACAAAAGTTTTTATCCTTCAATCAAATTTTTTGGGGGATCTTACAATTATAAAATTTAGTAAATTCTTCGTATTACAACATTTTTTAATTTAACAACCTTCACAAGAATGGAATATATTGGATAATCAAACGCATCGAAAATCAAATTATCCTGTCGTGGAATCCAACTGACAAAATATATTGTAGTGATCAAGATAAACAATTACAATTTATAAACCCCAAATTTTCTTTATGTAAACCAATATTCTTGTCCTACAAAATTATTGAGAAACGTTGAACAAGTTTCTTGGTTTACACTGCTTGATCAATAAACATAATTTTACTGTAAACATGTATATTGAAAGTACAACATTCCACTGGCTACACTACGTGAGGGGCAAGCAGAAGTCAGGCTGTTAAGCATCGCAATAAATATTTCGTCGATCTATGGAATTTAATTTACATTCAGTATAAATATTTATATTAAGAAATTATGACATCAAGCCAAAGAAGAAACTAACAAAAAAATTATTTTTAATGTAAAAAGATTTTAGAATCCAATATCCAAAATTTTTTCTCGTGGATTGAACAAAATGTCTCCATAAATAATAATAAGAATAAAAAAATCTCTTTTTTCCTGTTTTTACCCAAAGGATCACAATAGGTCCAATTAGAGTTTAATCAATTAATTAGTTACGACATATTTGGCTTTTTATTGGATCGATCAAAAATACTGGACAACTTTACCCAAGTTTACATTCCATAATTTTACCCCTTGATCATTTAGCCCACCTTTGTTTCCATTTTTATTGATTGTATAAAAAAAAATATTGAAAGATTCGAACCTCAGAATAGACAATAATTCCAGATTCGAACGAAAGAAGTTAAAGAAAAAAAAATCTGTAAAGGTAATGATTGTTTTGTTTCGAACCTAAAAAAGATTGGCTAAAGTGCATAATGACAAACCCACCGTCATCACCTATTGTTCAAAGTTATGTAACACCAGCTTTTATAAATTGATTTTACTACGCCGCAACGTTCGATGTTTAATAAATATGATTGGGCTAATTCTTCATATAATGGATAATATGAAAGTTATTCATTAGGGGATTGATGATCTATCCATTACTTTCATTTCTTTAATTAAAAGCTATTATATTTTAATATATATATTAAAATAAAATAAAAAATTAAAAATATCAAAATATTATAATAATTATAAATAATTTCTATTATAGAATAAATATTTATATTATTATTAAAATTATCATTTTTCTTAAAATATATGCATAACATTATATATATTTTTTTTTTATAAAGATTATATAAAATTTATTTCTTTAATTACACACCCTCTTTAAATTAATAGCTACCACCGCAAAGGTGAGTTTTTTGTATTTGATCTCAGTAGGCTGGAGGATGTTCCCCCTTGCAATCCGCTTAAGGTTTGACACACCATTGAACCTGCAGAAAGAGATAAAGGTGAGGCAGAAGCGTAAGGAAAAAAGTGCCTCCTGACCAGTGTGTAAAATCTATGTGCACAATGTGCACATGTGCACATTAATTTTTTGTGTGCACATATTACATAACATAAAATGTGCACAAATTATTACTAAAAATAGAAAAATTATGTATAAAAAAGGTAATTTTACATAAGAAAATGTTATGATTTTCTTATTTTAGTAATAATTAATCAATTTATGCACATAAATTTTAACTTAGATTTTATACACTGCTCCTGACAATTCACTTCGTTCATGGTCAGTAATAGTAATTTTTTGTAACAAAGTTGGGAAAAAACTCATGTGATGGCGTGAAAAAATTTCACACACTCTTGCCAAGAATAAATTTTTATTAATACAATGTAGCATGAATAACACAAGATTCAGGACTTGCCATAAATATATAGTGTTTCTATGCTAATATATATGGTACTCTAATGGGAAGGTCAAGAAACTGTGGGACTTGGTCTGACATTTCTAGGCGGATGTGTACTAGCTTGTTCTAACGCCTGCATTAGCAATCCTTTGTTCACAATCATAACATTTCTCAAAGTCAATAATAAATGTACAAGAAGTTTTACACGCCATGGAGTATTTTTTGTAAAAGATATTTCTGTGTGGTTTAGATAGAAGTATCTTAGTATCCCACTTGCATCTTTTATTTAGATATAAATCCTCACCAGCCACCTGAATTCCCATAATGTCAAATTGATTATTTGTCGGCCTACAGGCGATACCAATAAAGCTCACTCTATTCAAGTTCTCCCTCCATAATTTTACTGAATCACTTATTTTTTTAGTATCAGTGCAAATAACTCACGAAGATTTAACATAAGCAAGCTCAAAGATCTTTCCTTTACATTTTGTTATTACCATAACATCAGGCTTTTTCCTATTTGAGATCTGGATGGTTGCGAAGCCTGTTTCTCATTTTTTTTAAGCTTCTTCATGTCTTACTTGCAATGCTCTGTCGTTCTGCTGTACTCAAACAGATGTTACCATTTGATAAAGCCCCAAGCTAGCCCGAAGTAAAGGCATAATAATATCTGTGATATACGTTCTTTCGCTTTGGTTACTATGCATTTCACTGATCGCAAACGCAGGATTATTCCAAATCTCTCATTATATACAGTGAAAAAATGATGCAATATGATCTCAAGTCAGATATTGATGGCTACATGATTGAAATATAAGTGATGGCAAAGTCAAGAAAATACTTACAGGACACTTAATATATGATTTATTCTTTCTATTAATTGAGGCATCCCTTCTTTTCATTCATTATTATGTATAATATTCCTAAGCGTATCTGGAATATCAGTCTTATTGAAATTATTTACATCTTAAAGCAACTGAGATAGGAAAATCACATTTCATATTCTCACGTGATTTTAAAAAAACTTGCTTTTGCCTTTGCCCTAAATTTTTCACCAACGTAGATTTATCAGAAATAACCATACTTGCCTTCAGGTCTTGCCACGTAAGATCTGAAGGGTCAACGCTTACTAGATTTTTTTTGAGAGCATTATATAGAGATATATCCGTATCGATCATTGGTGTTTCTTTTGATTTTTTAGTTTAATTTTTTTTGATAAACAAATCAAAAAACGTCTCAGCTATTTTTGGGCAAGATTTGTTATACGAGAAATATTTTAAGAGCATATTCTTTTCAATGCTTAGCTTTTATTATATGTAAGGTTGCTGGACGAAATCAAGAGTTTAGACAGACGTCTAAATGGTAAAAGTAAAACTTGGTTAAATTATATT